GGCCGCGCGGTGCCCCCGGCTCCGGCCGCCGTGACCTCTGAGCATGTGTGTGGTTGCTCTTCTCAGAACATGGTGATGAGCTTTCGAGTGTCCGACCTTCAGATGCTCCTGGGTTTCGTCGGTCGGAGTAAGAGCGGACTGAAACACGAACTGGTCACCCGGGCCCTGCAGCTGGTGCAGTTTGACTGCAGCCCCGAGCTGTTCAAGAAGATCAAGGAGCTGTACGAGACTCGCTACGCCAAGAAGCACGCCGAGCCCGGCCCGCAGCCGCCCCGGCCTCTGGACCCCCTGGCCATGCACTCCACCTACGAGCGGGCTGGCGCGGTGCCCAGGACTCCGCTGCCGGGCCCCAATATTGACTACCCTGTGCTGTACGGGAAGTACTTGAACGGACTGGGACGGTTGCCCGCCAAGACCCTCAAGCCCGAAGTCCGCCTGGTGAAGCTGCCCTTCTTCAACATGCTGGACGAGTTGCTGAAGCCCACCGAGCTAGGTGAGTCGCCGCTGCCCGGAGGCCGCCTCCCAGGCCTTGTCTGGCCCCTGACCCCGCCCTGCACGCAGCCTTCCGCCACATCCTCTGCGGTGCAGCCGGCAGGGGCTGTCCGTCCCCGGAAGCAGAGGGACGCCTTGGCTATTGGTGACCTACTGCGGTGTTCCAGGTCGCCCCAGGGTCTAGCAGCTGACGCAGTGGACACCTAGTGCTCAGACCCGAGGGTCAGGAACCCGGAAGGGCGTAGCTGGCTGCTTCTGCCGCGGGCCTCGCAGGCTGCAGTCAGGCACCATGGACACCATGGGCCTGCCTCATCTGAGGGCTCGACTGGGGCTGGGACTGCTGGCAGGCCTTGGTTCCTTGCCAGCTTTTGGTCAGAGACCTCCTCTGCTCCCCTGTGGCCCTCTGCAGACTGCCTGGGTGTCCTCAGCACAGTGGCTCGATGTTACCAGAGTAGTGGTCTGGGGAAGGGGGCGTGTGCGCACGTGCAGTTGAGCCAGAAGCACAGCCACTGGATGTTTTAGAGTCAGGGTCTCACTCTGTCCCCCGGGCTGGAGCACAATGACGTGATCACAGCTCACTGCAGCCTCCACCTCCTGCCTGCGGTGATCCTCCTGCCTCAGCCTCCCAAAACACTGGAACTCCAGCCCTGAACTGGCTCGCAGCCCTCTTTATCACCTGACTGCGAGCCGTGCCACCCCTCGCGGCCACCCTCTTTCTGCTGCTCACACCTGCTTCGGGGTGGCACAGCTTCTCCTGCCCGTGCAGAGGGACTGAGAAGCTGCACCTGACCTTCCCCCTCCCCCAGACGCCTGCTGCTCATGGGCTCAGGCCACCGCCAGGAGGCAAGTCCCGTGCACCCCGGGGCATCCACGGGCCGGGCGGTGCTGCGCTGGGTCCACGGACCCCTCTTCACTCCTTTCCTGGTTTCCGAGCTCTGAGCCTCTCTTTGCCAGGACCCCTGAGGCTGTGGGCGGGTGTTGTGCCTTAGAGCAGCCCTGCCCAGGGCCATCGTCTGCCTTCCAGGCTCCTAGGGACAGGCGGGCATGCCGGGCCTTTCGCAGCATGTTGGGGCCCCCTGGTTTTGCCGGCTCCCGAGTGCCCTTTGTGTTCCGCCCGCCATCTGCCCCTCCTGCCTGCTGAGCCCTTCCTTGTGCGTAGGCGCCGGGCAGGTGGCAGGGGCGAGACCAAGCCTGGGAAGCTGCCCTCCCGGCGCAGGGGCTGCCCTGGGTGTCCTCCGCCTGCGGCCCGGCTGGCTGCTTCTGCCTGCCCCTCCTGCCTTGAGACCACGGGCTGTGGCAGTGCAAGCTGGCAGCGCCCAGGTCCCTGCACACCCTGCCCCCACGTCGAGTCCGTGCCTACCCCCTCCCGCCCTGCTGACCCAGCGACCTGCCCCTGCGGCGGCCTGGGGCCCCTCTGTGGCATGCGGGTTCAGAGCCAGCTCCGGGCCAGCCGGCCCCCTCTCCCCTGCCCTGGGAGGGAGTTGGTGGGGGAGCGGGGAGGGGAAACAGGCTGGTTCTCCCCCCAGCCTGCAGCCTGGACTTTGTGCAGTTTCGATGGGGAGGAGGGAGGGGAGTGCTCCCGCGGGCTCCTGCGGCCCCTGGTTGCGGCCCCACCTCCCCCCCCATGAGGCTCCACCTCCCGCCCGAAGCCCTGCCCCTTGGCCTGAGGCTCCACCCCTGGTCTGAGGCCCCACCCTCCAGCCCAAGACTCTGCCCTTCGCCACTTCTGCGGTGGAGGCTTTGGGCAGGGGCTCGTCCTGGGCTCCGTGGGGTGACGCCTCCCGCGCTCCCTGCCTTGGTGGGGGAGAGGGCAGCCTTTCCCCCGGGGTCTCCAGCAGGGCTGGCTGGCTCCAAGGTGGAAGGCGGGTTTGTGCCGGGAAGCAGCCGGACAGCTTGGGCAGGGGACCTGGGCCGCGCCCCCATCCCAACTGCAGGCTTCCTTCCTGCCTGCGAGCTGTGCTCCGCCCCACAACGCATCATTGTGCCCTGAGCCCCTGGGGACCCCATCACCTGATCTCCGGGAGAGCCTGCTCCCCTGCCTACCCCGGGAAGGACTGCAGGCGGCTCAGAACAAAGAGCCTGACCCCGCCCTGCCTCCTCCGCAGCGACTCCCTGACCCATCGAAGGGCGCTGCCACCGGGGTGTGCCCGTTCTCTGGACTCCCGTCCTCCTGGGGGCTCCTGGGGGCGGCGGAGGTCCTTGGACAGTGGCTTCCTGGAGCGCCGACCCCAGTCCCACGCGGCGGCCCCTGTCGCGTCAGAACCCGGAATCGCCTGCCCTCCCCACCCTCGCCTGGGCCCTCCTCCCCAGGGCGAGCTCAGTGGCGCCGGCATGACCCAAGGGCCACGCCAGGAGGGCCCGGCTCTGCCAGTGCCCCTTCCCTCGCCCTCAGCCCTGGCCGCGACCCGCTGGCCAGAATGAGGCCCACGTGCTCCGCGCTGTTCCCCCGGAAGAGATGGAGCCTCTGCTGGGACAGGAGCCATAAATCATGGCGCACAGATGCGAGGCTGGGGGAGGGGAGGGGAGAGAGTCTGGCCGGAGCTGCAGGGGCTTGAGGAGACCTGCCCGGGCACACGGCGACCTGACCCCCGTCCTCCCGGCTCGGACCCCTCCTACGCCCCTGGGAAAGGCGCCTGCTGGGCCTCTCAGAAGGGCCGGACGTCCTTCCCCCCGGCCCGTGGCCAGGTGGGATGGACAGATGCCATTGCTGGCTTGGCCGAGCTGAGGGTCCCCCAGCTGGGACCACGAGGGACGTCGGTGGCCAGAGTCCCACTGGGGGCCCGTGGGGCAGAGTGAGGCTGCGTGAGATTCAGGGTAGCAGGGAGGAGCTGGTGGGCGGCGTCAAGCTGCTCCCTGGTCCCTGGTCCCTGGTCCCGTGGCAGCCCCAAGACTGTGTGGCGGAGGACGTGACCCGTCTTGTGCGGACTCCAGTTGCCACCCACGGGACGTGGTACTGACCCCCACTGAGACCTGCTGATCTGGTCCCTTTGCGTCATGTGCATTTTGCCCAAGGGACAAGGGGTAGGCATGGTCCCTGCCCGGTGCGGCATGGGAGGTGATCAGACAGTGTGGATGAGAAGCTCTTTGATGAGGGGTGTAGTGCTCCTGGGGGGGCGGCTGTCAGTAGCAGGACGCATGTTTTGCACGTTTGTGAAGAGGTAGCAGTCAGGAGGGCTTCCTGGAGGCAGTGGCGTGAGTGTGAGCGTGAGTACCGAGAAGCCAGGCAAGAGGAGGGGGCAGGGCATTGTGTTCCAGGCTCAGGGACTGGTGAGGGCAGAGGCCTGGCAGTGAGAGAGGCCCCATTCACGGACCTGAATGGAGACCATTGTGGCCGGGAGGAGGGACAGAGCCGCCTGAACGCGGGCAGCAGAGACCAGCAAACTCGGGGACGGTGGGCCACGGGGAAGGGCAGGCCTGGCCGCTGAGGGCGCCTTCCTTCTGGTGTCTCTGGAGGTCACTGAGGAGCTGGGGGGCAGCGAGGCCAGGGCCCACCTGCCCTCCCCAGCGGGCCTGGGACCCACCCGGCTGTGGTCCCTCCACGGCGTCCTCAGGCCTGTCCTGTGCCCGGAGCCTGGGCGGTCATGGGCGGCCTGTCTCCTGCAGGACGGCCTGACCCACTTGGCCGGCAGGGGCCTCGCGCGCCGCGTTTGGGGGCGTCCCCTCGCTCTGCCACTGGCCGGCTGACGGATGCCCCCACGGCCTGCCTGGGGCCCCGCCTCCAGCCCACCCAAGTCCCCAGGTTCCTCCTCTGGTCTCCTCTGACTGCCCCCCACCGCGTCCCCCACCTGGCAGCTGCTCTGCCCGAGCAGCCAGGCTGGCCTTCCAGACAGAGGCCCCTCGACCCTGACCTGGGCCTCCTGGACACTCTTGTCACTCCCTTCCCCTCTGCACTCTGCTCCAGCTGTGTAGGCCTCCGGCATGCCAGGTGCGGCGCTGCCCTAGGGCCTTTGCACAGCCTGTGCCTCTGGCACCCTCTTCCCCAGACCCTGGGACAGCTCTTCTGTTGGGGCTCGGCACCGTGTGGCCTCCTCCGAGAGACCTCGCAACGGCCTCTCCTTCCGGCGCTCTCATCACTGGGGCTTCCTCCTAGCGCTGACTTGGTTTTTTGTTTATTTTTTGGCGCTGTTTGCGGTTTTTTTTTCCACAAGGGACCCTTCTAGGCCAGCAGCATCCGTGCTAGGAGTGAGAAGCTCCCGGTATCATGTGTGTATTTTTGTATAAGGGATCTCGCTCTGTTGCCCAGTCTTGAGTGCCGTGGTGCGATTGTAGCTCACGGCAGCCTCCGTCTTCTGGGCTTAGGGGATCCTATCTCAAGCAGTCTTCCTGCCTCAGCCTCTTAACACACTGGGATGACACGTGTGAGCCCCCACCCGCCCAGGCATCATGTGTATGTTCCCTTAGGTAGCACGGATGGGTTGGGGCAGGATTTGGGCCGTCAGGTGGGGCACAGCCTGAGCAGAGACCTGGGACGAAGAGGCGGCCCACTCGGGGCCCCAGCAGGAGCAGCCTGGAGCTGGCATTCCCGAGCCCCCTCCATGCCCCTGACCATCCTGGTTAGCCCACCCTGGGAGGAGCCCCTGCCGTTCGGGCAGACCCTGTTCTGGAACCCCAAGCCCTCATCGCACCCTGGCTCCGTCCCGGCCGCCTCGCGGTGGGGCTGCCGGCGTTGCCTCTGCGCCCCAGGGCTGCCCCGCATCCCTCGGGCGGACCACGCGGCCGTGACTCTCGTGCTGGGGCCAGGCAGGACCCTACGGTGCCCCCATCCCCGATGGGAACTGCGGCTCGGGCGGGGCCGGGCAGGAGTCGGAGCTTTCACGTGCTGCGGGGTGGGGGGGGCAGCCTGGAGGAGGCGGCCTCCTGCTTCGTCCTGGGCCGGGGCCTGAGGGGCGGGGAAGCCGCCAGCAGGTGGGCTTCAGGCTGGGACGGCTCATCAGTCGGCTTCTAAAATCCCCGGCGTTTCTTTCCGTTGGATGTCAGCGCTCGTCGTAGAAAATGCCGGTC